AGGGTCTGGATCTCTGCGGGGAGATCATTCCACAGGGCCGGGGCAGCTACAGAGAAAGACCTCCCCCGAGTAGTCGCCAACCAGCATTGCCCGATCAACGGTACCCGAAGGAGGCCCAGCCTGTGGGATATTATGGGTCGTTGGGAGGTATGTGGCAGGAGGCGGTCCCGTAGGTATCCAGGTCCTAGGCCATGTAGGGCTTTAAAGGTAACGACCAGCACCTTGAAGCGCATTTGGAGACCGATGGGAAGCCAGTGCAGCTCGTGGAGGATAGGTGTAACATGGGTGTACCTAGGTACACCCGATATCGCTCGCGCGGCTGCATTCTGGACCAATTGTAGTCTCCAAACACTCTTCAGGGGCAGCCCCAAGTAAAGCGCATAAAAAGCCATGCCTATAGAAAAATCCTACTGGAAATAAAAAAGGAAGACAAAAGATAAACACACACACACATACACAAAAAGGTTTGTGAAGTAGAAGATAAAGTGGGAAAGGAGGATGAGATAGATGTAAGTCAGAAAGATTCTGATTTGGTTTGAGAAGACATAATACAATCTTGTCAGTGTTTCTAACATATTAATAGTTCTCTAGCTCCCGTGGGATGGAGAAATAGAATTCCTAGTTAATATATACAAATAAAAAGAGTTTGAATACAGAATGAATGCTATGAATAGAGATTGAGATTTGAGATTAAAACAAATCTCAAATCTCAAATGCTATGAATAGTGCAATCTGTACCCACAGATAAAATCTTTGGAAGAGATCATAAAGTTTTGACATGGTCACAGTAAACCTGGATGCAGGGATGCCTTTTCAAATCCCCCCCCCCAATGTACTGGCACTAGGTAAATCTGAAAGAATCAAAGCATGTGAACGGAGAAGGAAAATACAGGTAGTTCTTGACTTACAACTGTAATTAATTGCCCCAAATTTTGATGGTCAATTGTGATCAGTGGTGGGTTGCTAACGGTTTACTACCAGTTTGCTTGAGCTGGCGTGTAACGCTTCATGCGCAGAAGCGTCTGGGCAGGTGGCCGAAGCCTTCGATGCTGCCTCTACCGGTTTGGCCGAACTGGGGGAAACCCACCTGATTGTGACGGTTGTAAAGCAGATCACCACATAGCTGTTGCGGCCCAGCAGGAGCCGTTGGAGCTGCCGACAGACTCCGATAGCGAGGGACCCTATGAGCCGGCTCTGGAAGATGTGGAGGACCCTGGGCAGGGTTCAGACTCCGAGCAGGGACCAGAGAGGCTGGTTGGCCACCAGGAAAGTCAAAAGGAGTTTGTCCCTGACGTCAGGCACTGGAGCAGTGGGGAGGAGCAAAGGGAGTTGGTCCCTGACGCCCGGCAGAGAAGGGCGGAGAAGCAAAGGCAGCAATTA